GTGCAGTTTCCTGCCACTAGGCCACCAGAGCTCGCCATGGCCATGATCTTTGCAATTAGTTGCTATGCATCAGAAAGCTGGACAATGACTAGGGATGAGAAAAGAATTGATGCCTTTGAGCTGTGGTCTGCTAGGAGTATAAATAAGTTTGTCCTGGGAGAGTGAAACCAGACTGCTCCTTGAAGGCAAGGATTCTGAAGCTTCGTCTGACATTCTTTGGACATGTTTCTAGGAGGGACCAGTCCTTAGAGAGGGACATATGATTGGGAGGGTGGAGGGACAGCACAAGAGAGGAAGACCCTGGATGAGATGGATTGAGCAGGGTTTAGGGATGTGGTACACAGGGTCACTAGGAGTTGCAGGCAACTTAATGGCATATAATAACAACAACAACAACAACAACAACAACAGTGTTCCTTTGCTCTGTTTACACAATAGCCTCTTGGTGTAGACATAGGTTTCCCACAAGCACAATTAAAAGTGTTCTGGGATTCCCATTTTTCTCAATGTTAGCTATACTTTGTTATGTTCCACAGTCAAATACCTTTACACAGTCAATAAAGTATAAATAGACATTCTTCTAGTAGTCTTTGCTTTTAGCCAGGATCCATCTGACATCAGCAGTGATATCCCTGGTGCCAGGGCCTTTTCTGAATCCCACTTGAGCATCTGGAAGTTCTCTGTGTCCTACCTGTTTTTTATTGATCTTCATCAGTATTTTGCTTTAATTTGCTAGTGTTCAATAATTTCCACACTCTGTTGGATCACCTTTCTTGGGAATGGGAACAAATACGGGTCTCTTCCAGTCAGTTGGCCAGGCAGCTGTTCTCTGAGTTTCCTGGCATAAACTGGTGAGCACATGCAGACCTGCACCTCCTAGTTGAAACATGTCCATTGGTATCCCAGTGATTCCTGGGGCCTTATTTTTTGTCAATGTCTTCAGTGCAGCTTGAACTTCTTCCGTCATTACCACTGGCTCAAGGTCATATAATAAGGTATTTCCTGAAACATTTCCACATCAGCCAATTCTTTTTGGTACCATCTTTCTGTACCATCTTCTTTTTTTATTTTTATAATTTTAATGAGCATTTACAGATTTTGGATTTCCATTCATTCATTGCTGCACACCATCTTCTTTTGATGTTTCCTGGATCATTCAAGATTTTGCCCATTGCATCTCTAAGTATTGAAACTCAAGGTCTGGATTTGTTTTTCAGTTCTTTCAGCTTGAGAAGTACTAATTCTAAGTCTCTGTATGTTCAGTTATAACAGTTTGCTTTGTCTTCCTGAGCTGCCTTTTAAAATCTTCTGTTCAGGGGAGCTCTGGTGGCCTGGGGAGCTCTGGTGGCCTAGTGGCAAGGAGCTGCAACTACAATCCCAGAGGCGCCCGGTTCAAATCCACCAGATGCTTTGCCGGGGAAGGAGGGACAATCTCCTCCTGTACCAGTCAGATCTGATTTGACGGTACACACACACAAAAATAATAAAACAAAAAAAAATTTTAAATCTTCTGTTCAGCTCGTTTATTTCAGCATCTCCTCCCTTTGTTTTGGCTTTTTGATGCTCTTAGAATACAATTCTCATGGTCTTTTCTCATATCCATTTGGCTTTTTTAATTTCTCCTCAGCCTTGGTAGTGACCTCTTGCTCTCTTCATGGATGATATCTTTGATGTCATCCCACAACTTATCTGATCTTCAATCATTTAATGTTCAATGATGCAAACTTATTCTTTTTTTAAAATTAATTTTCATGAACGTTTACAGATATTTTGGATTTCCTTTCATTCATTGTTGCATTTTTCTCCCTGCCCGCCCCTTCTCCTCAGTTCACTATTCTCTTTGAAAAGCAAAAGGAAACTTCCTTTACTGGTATACAATATCCCCTCCACCCCGCCCGCAAACCTGTTCTTAAGATGAGTTTTAATTTCAGATGAGATAGGATCAAGACTGTATTTTGGGTTTCATGAAGTTGTTTTCATTTTCTTTAGCTTCAATTTGAACTTGTATATGAGTAACTGAAGATCAGTTCCACAGCCGGCACCTGGACTGGTTGTGACTGCTGATATTGAACTTCTCCAAAGATTCCTTCCACAGATGGAGTTAATCTGATTTCTATGCATCCCATCTGGTGAGGTCCAAGTGTAAAGTTGGCATTTGTGTGTTTCAAAAAAGGTATTTGTGACAAATCTTTAAATGTACAAAATTTGACCATTCTATTTCTGGCCCCATTTTCCTTACCACATTTGTAATTTATTTTATTTTATTTTTATGTGTCTGTGTACTGTCAAATCAGATCTGACTGGTACAGGAGGAGATTGTCCCTCCTCCAGCAGAGCATCTGATGGATTCGAACCGCACACCTCTGGGATTGCAGAAGTTTGTAATTTCTGACTTCCCTTCAGTCTTGTTTCCAGCTTTTGTATTCGTATTTCAATCACCAATTCTCTTAAGTGCATCTTGACTGCATGTTCGGTCAATTTCAGCATGGAAAATTTGATACAAATCTTCAATTTCTTCCTCTTTGGCTTTAGTTGTTGGTGCATATATTTGGATAATAGTCATATTAACAGATCTTCTGTGTACGCGTATGGATAATACCTATCACTCACAAACACTGCACTTCAGGATATAACTTGAAATTGTCTTTTTAACTATGAATGCAACATCCTTCTTCCTGTTTTTCACTCCTAGTATCATGTGATTCTCTGATTCAAAGTGGCCAAAGCCTGTCCATCTCATCTCGCAAATGTCTAGAATGTCCATGTTCATGCGTTCCATTTCATTTTTCCCAACTTCTAGTTTTCCAACATTCATACTCCATACATTCCAACTATTAAAGGACGTTTGCAGCTGTTTCTCTGCATTCTGATTGACTTCCAGTCTGGGCTCCACATCTAATACTGTATCTGGGTTCCTCTACTGCTCATAGGGATTTTAAATACCTGCTATTTCAGAAGTGCATGGCCAATCCTGCTTTCTTTTTTTTTTTTTTTTTAAATTTTTTTTTAATTTTTTATTATTTTGTGTGCGTGTACCGTCAAATCAGATCTGACTGGTACAGGAGGATATTGCGCCTTCTTCTCCGGCAGAGCATCTGGTGGATTCGAACCGTGTTCCTCTGGGATTCAATCCTGCTTTCTAGTTTGTCTCAATCTGGAAGCTCCACTAAAACCGGTCCACTCTGGGTGACATCTCTGGCACTTGACACACCATCCACAAGTTATCTCAGTACAGCACACTGACAGACGAATGCTGTACTAATAAACACACAAGATCATAGATACCCAGGAAGCTCTGGTGGCAAGAAGCTGCACTGCAATCCCAGAGGTGCATGGTTCAAATCCACCAGGTGCTCTTTTGGAGAAGGAGGGGCAATCTCCTCCTGTACCAGTCAGATCCAATTTGATGGTACACACACACACACACACACACAAAATTAGAGATCTCCAAGCCACAAAGTGATTAGCAATATGCCAGGCCATGTGCGTTTCTAGCAGAGTCACAGTTAAATAAAGATACAAAGAAATCAACTAGAAGTGGTCTGGAAATAAGTGTCAGTTATGACTGGAAATTAGCTTTCAGGGCAAGAGTCCAGAGAGAGGGGCCCTCGGGCAGGGCAGCTCCTCGGAGCTTGGTCTTGGGCCCAGGAATCAGCACTGGAGCCCACTCACCAAGCATGAGGACAGGAAACCATCGACTGTAAGGGGACATTAGAAACCTTCACCTCCAGCCTTTGGGAACCAGCGAGACAGAAGCAAACGGCTTGGGATGTGCCAGGTCACTTGGCAGCGCTGCTCCCTCCAGCTTGGGCCTCCCTCACTCGGGACAGGTTGGTCCACTCACCTGCAGGATCAGGTCCCCTTCCTGTAGCCCCCGGTTCCGGGCAGCCAGCCCCGAATCTGTGATGTGCTTGATGAAGATCTGACTGCCCAGCTTGACCCCAAACTCTGTGGAGGGAGGAGGGAAACTGAAGCAGGGCCTTGGGTTTAGACTGCTGAAACTCCCCCCACACCCCCCCTCAGAGTTCAGAGCTCACCTGTCCTCCACCTCCCTCCAGGATAATGCACGTCCCCACACCTCGCATGTAAGAGTCTTAATTTTAAGTGCTAAACCCCTTTTCAAAGGACTCCTAGTAAGTGTTCAGCTGTTGTGCACCGTCAGGTTGGAACCGACCCACAGCTGGCCCTCTGGCAGGTTTTCAGAGGCAGTTAATTGCATGGGAAGAGATTGGATGTCCAGCCTTCTCCCACGGAGCAGCTGGTGGATTCGAACCACATGCCTTTGGGACTGCAGTGCAGCTTCTTGCCACTAGGCCCCTAAAGCTCCCTAAGTGCTGAGCTACTAACTGAAGACATTAAAGCTGCCACTGTATCCAAAGACCTGGTGACCCACATCTGTAAAGATCACAGCCTAGGGGAAGCTCTGGTGGCCTAGTGGCAAGAAGCTGCACTGCAATCCCAGCGGTACTCGGTTCGAATCCACCGGATGCTCTGCTGGAGAAGGAGGAACACTCTCCTACTGTACCAGTCAGATCTGATTGGACAGTACACATAAAATAAAATATAAAATAGGTCATGGCCTAGGACTCCCTGATCACTCTCGTTAAGTCAGAATTGAGTTGACAGCAAACAGCCCCATAATAGCACCGCCCACCACCACCCACCCACCACTCATGGCCACTCACTGCTGCCCACCATCAGCACCCAACAACCAACACCCAACACCACTACCCACCCCTTCCACCTAACAGCCATCCCCAACCATCCACATCCACCACCACAACCGGCAATAACCACCAACCACCGTCACCACCAAGCCATTAACATCCACCACTACCAGCAATAACCAGAGAACCACCACCTACCACCATCACCACTCACACATTAACATCCACCACCACCCAACCACCATCCACCAGCACCCTCAATCAACCAACCATCCACATCCACCGCTATCCATCACCAGACCGGCAACAGCCACCAACCACCACCTACCACCTTCACCACCCACACATTAACATCCACCACTATCCGCCACCACAACTGGTAATAACCACAAGCCACCATCTACCACCACCCAACCATTAACATCCATCACCATCCAACCACCATACATCACCACCATCACCACCCAACCATCATTATTCGCCACCACCCACCATCCATCAGCACCCGCCACCACTCAACCACCATCCACCAATGCCCAACCATTCACATCCACCATTAACCACCCCTCCCATCACGACCCAACGCTACCCCCAATAACACCACCACCCACCCACCATCTACCACCATCCAGCCACAAACTCAGCCAGTACCACTCACCCGTCCTACAACATCCTACCTGCATCCCTGAGTGACTAACACCCTCCACCTACAACGTCCCCTTTGCTACCTCAGGTACTGTCTCCACAGGTCCCAGTATGTGGCTGGGGACGTCATCTGAGGCCATGACTCTGCAGACCACACGCAGTGTCTCAGGACAGTAGTACTGGCCCTTTGTGGGGACACCGGGCCCTGCTGCCCCACACCCGTCACAACCACGGCTGCCCATAGCCAGACAGCACACTCACCTTCGCTCTCCCGCCGCCTCACCAGCACTGACTTCACCGGCCTCATCAGCACGTCCTGTCGTGGGAGCCGCTTAAAGCCGGACACCAGGGCCAGTCCGTTGGCCTCGGACCCACCACTCGGGCTCCTGCGCCCATGACTACCAGTCCGGCTTCGGCGGCCAGTCCTCGGCCGGCGCGAGCGCTCACCCCACGAGCGCCCAGAGCCACTGGACGAGTCTCCCTCGTAGCCTCGGCCGTGGTCAGCATCCTCAAACTGTGGGGGTCCATCCTCCTCATCCGAGTCCTGGGGCCCTGGGCTCAGGGGGGCAGCCTTGGTGGCAGGCAGCTGGATCTTCCGGGGCCGCTTCACTGTCTGTCAGGGGCAGAGGGGGTCAGTTCATTCCAGGCCAGGGGCTGGGGGGCTCTGACCACCCACCAGAAGTCCTGGGGAACCCCAGCCCTGCTGCTCTGGGCCTCAGTGCCTGAATCATAAAGAAGGAATCAGATTCTATTCGCTGTTAGGAGCACAGACCACGGGAGCAGGGGGAGGGCTCAGCGGGTGCTGAATGCTGCCCGTGCCCCAGGGCCTTTGCACAGGCACTCCAGGCCACCTCCAGGCTCACTCACAATGTTCGCCATCTTGGTGCACGTCTTGAGTATCTGGATGGCGAAGGCGGAGGTGACGCTCTCCATGGGGACTCCATTCACCATGACGATCTGGTCCCCTGTTCTGAAGGATGAAGCTTGTCGGAGGGAGGAGGCCCCACAGAGGATCCCCTCTCACCAGGCCCTCCCTGGGGTTCCTGGAACTGCTAAGTCTCCAAGACCAGGTTCTAATCCATTGGTTTCCCTGGGCTCCTACAGACATTTATTCTTCTGGGCCTCAGTCTCCTCATCTAGATAATGGGCTCATCATAACAACAATTGTCCACCGTGTCAACTCCAACTGACGGCAATCCTATATACATTATCAGAGCAGAACAAGGTTCCATAGGGTAGGAACGGTGCCTGCTTTTTCAGAAGTGTATCACCAGGCCTTTCTTCCGAGGTGCTCTGTGTGGACTTGAACCTCCCACCTTTCAATAAGCAGCTGAGCACATGCATTGTTTATGCCACCCAGGACATAACAGAACAGATGCTTCAATGACAATTGGTCCCTCACATTTTTCTCCACCGAGGACTCTGAACACTGGGTCTCCTCCTCTCTTGCTCAGAAGTTTCCAGGACTTCCTGTCCCAGGTGGGTCCTGGGGCCAGTGCAATCCCCAGAACTGTTCTGAGCGACCCAGGAGGGGCCGTGGGGAGAGTGAGGCCAAGTGGTTCTGTCCTGGTGGTAACTCCAAGACCCCAGAGCCAGAGAGTGCCAGGAGTATTGCAGTTTCCAAGGTCCACACAGTTCCCTGCTCCTGGTTGGACCCCCAGCCAGAAGTTGGCCCCTTGATACCCACCACAGCCTGTCCTCGGCCAACCTTCAGCCAGAACCTGGCCCCCTGGGTACCCATCGCAGCCTGCCCTTGGCCAGCCCCCAGCCAGTACCCGGCCCCTGGGTACCCATCACAGCCTGTCCTCGGCTGGCACCCCACCAGAACTCTGCCCCTCAGTACTCACTGCAGCCTGTCCTCTGCGGGCCCCCAGCCAGAACCCGGCCCCCTGGGTACCGATCGCAGCCTGGCCTCGGCCAACCCTCAGCCAGAATCCGGCCCCTCGGTACCCACCTCAGCCTGCCCTCAGCAGGTCCCCCAGGCACTACATCTGACACGATCACGGAGCTGCTGGACCGGTCTCGGCCTCCAGAGATGGCGATGCCAAAGCCCCGGCGGGGGTCCTAAGGTGGAAGGAGCCACAGGAAGAGGTCTGCCTCGCCCCCAAGGACATACCCGCCGTTCGCAGGTCCAGGAAAGGGAGGTCTCACCTTGCTGAGTGTGGCTGTGTGCTGCTCCCAGATCGTCAGCTCCTCCATGCTGGCCACCTGGTCAGAGGGGGACAGGGAAGGGGGTTGAGGCCATGGTAGCCCAAAAGAGCATTCTGGGGACCAAGCCCCAGCTGGATAGCCTGGCTCTGACCTTGATCCTGACCCTGCTGTGGTCCAAGACCGTGGCCGAGGAGTTGCCTCTCCCCAGACCTTGGGTTTTTCATGTGCAAAATGGCTCTAAATACACATTTCCAGAAACAGGCTAAAATATGAAACTTTTTTTTTAATTGTGAAAACAAGTAGCAGGTGTAATATCTGACCACACACAGCAGACAGAAATCCCAAAACCAGGCAATTTGCATCTAAAGAATCAAAGCTATTCCAAGATGGCACCAGGGAAGCCGCATTCATTGCAAAGGTCCAAGGAATACGGAATTCCTCTTTCAAAGCTGGTTTTAGATGAACTTTTTAAAATAAAACCAGAAGTTTTTTACTCTGCTTAATTCTAATTTGCTCAGAGTTCAGATCTGTTGTACATAGAATGGTCACTAAGAGTCGCAGGCGACTCGGAGGCACGTAACAACAACAACAATCTTGATTTATGTAAATTAGGCGAAACTCATGATTTTGTTTAACATTCAAAGTTACTAACTCAAACCCACTACCACCGAGGCCCTTTTGACTTATAAGGACCCTCCGTTGAGTTTCAGAAGCTGTACGTTTTTGTGGATATTGCCTGTTTTTCTCCTGACTTGAACTGCTGGCCCAGTATGTTACACACTGTGCCACCAGGGAGGGAGCTCTGGTGCCTAGTGAGTAAGGAGTTGTACTGACAACTCAAAGGCAGGCAGTTCAAGTCCCCAGGCTGCTCTGTGGTAGAAATGTGAGCAGTTCACAGCCTCTGAAAAGCTGAAGAGTCAGCTATGAGTTGGCTCTCACACACAACATGGGACCACGGATCCCCAGCCGAGGGTCAAGGTTCCCCAGGACTTAAAAAAAGGTAAAGGCTCTCAACAGATTCCCAATAGTCTGAACAATGGGACAATCTTTGAAATAAAGCTATGATGTCTCCAGTTTAGTGTTCTTCTGAATACATTTCTGAGATGTTGGCTGGAATATAAAGTAAACTCCGAACTCTTTGTCATCGAGTCGAAATCAACTTACAACTGACCTTCCACCAGACTGCCAAAGGCCATCTTTCTCCTGGGGGGCGGCTGATGGATTTGAACCTCGTAGACCCACTAGAGCTCTGTGCTAAATTATAAACTGACGTAATAAAAATATCCCCTCTAGTCCTCTGTAATCCACACAATATTGGTGTTGTTGTGTACCATAGAGTTGGAACCAACCCATAGCCGACCCTCCGGTGGGTTTTCAGAGGCAGGAAATTGCACAAGAGGAGAATACCCGTCTTTCTCCACACAACAGTTTAACTATGAAGAAGTCTGCCTTGAAGATGGTGCCTTTTTAAGAATTATTTATAGGGTATCAGATAGACAACGGCAACTCGAAAGGTTAGATAGAAAAACTTATGGGACGGGGAGTGTGTATGTTCACGGAGGAGAAACGGCTCTGTAAGGAGGGGAGCGAGGTTGTTCAGCTTGAAGAAGAATGCAGTTAATGTCACTGAATTATGCACACAAAAGATGTCGAGCTGGCGGGTGTTCTATTCTCAACAACAAAACAGAAAGCTAAAAGAGTAAGAAAATAAAGGGGGAATAACTTATAATTACCCACAAGGGGACTTGGCCTTCAGGGCATACCAGATGATGTCTGGGCACATTTGTGAGTGTCATAGCTACTGGACTTTATCAGATGGAGACCAGAGATGGTTCTCAGCTCGCTAGAGAGCACAGGACATCATGATGAGGGAGAGGAATTATGCTTTGATTATTTGAAGGAAAAGTTGAGTTAGGTTCACACCGCTGTAGCTAGTGGTCTTCAACTCAGTACTCCCTCGTGTGCTAAGTGATCTGTGTTCCAGAGTTTTCCAGGTTGTACGTGACCTTTCAGAAGCAGATTGATTGCCAGGCCTTTCTTCCAAGGCACTTCTGGGTGAACTTGAACTCGTGCCCTGTGACATATGCAGATTTTATTATCTGTTCTTGTCTGGCATCTCCTCTTTTTTTTTTATAATATT